TGGAGCTAAACTCTGCAGGAAGGTAGATCTCCAGGAACAGGGTTAGGCACCCCTGCCCTAGTGTATTACTATTGACTTCTAAGCAGGGTTATTATTGTTAACTAAAACTAAAACCTTTAAAAAAAAACATTTTATTACTTAAAATAAACATTAACTGAATTTAAATAAAATATCTAAAAAATAATATTTTATATCTATTTGTCAAAGCAACATTTCTCATTTTCTTTTAAAGTTAAAGTACTAAATAAACTAAAACTAAAAGGAAAAAAATTATAAAAACTATATAGACATGTTTAAAAATGTTTAAAAACACACAAAATAATTACATTTAAAACGATAAACATTTTCATTCAATTAAATGAAATAAACATTTCCTGAAATAAAATAAATTACAAAAATTATCATCTTATTTTATATCAGCTTGTTGCCAAGGCAATAGTTCTCATTTTCATTTCATTGAAGTAATAACTAAAACTTATAAACTAAAAAAAAAATATAAATAAAAATTAATAAAAACCATAGACATATTTTAAAAAACTAATAAAAATAACAAAACGCAACAAAATTACAAAAACATTAACTAAAACTTCAATACAAAGAAATGTCATTACTTGAAATAAAATTAACATTAAATGAAATAGAATATTATATCATCGCCATGGTAATATTTCTCATTTTGTTTAGTTTAATAAACAAAATAAACAAAAATTATATATATATATATATATATATATAGACATATTTAAAAAAAAAAAAGACAAAAACACACTACGAAAACATTAAAACTAAACTAACTTTAAAAAAAAAACAAAAAAAAAACTATATTATACTAAACTACCTAAACTATAAGATTGTATCAATGATACTAAAATAACACGGCTTCTAAGCTTGGCTTGCAGTCGTATTTCAAAACAAGTTCAAACAACATCTGCAGTGCACAAACTTGATGTATTTCAGCAAATGTTAATGAACATAATTTTATGTGGCGTGTACAAAAGTTTCCATTTGATCCACTAGTTTAGTTTTGTTTGTAAGTCTCTGTAATTGTGGTAGCTTTTGCGTTATTTTAACCCACCGTCCACTGGCTCTCCTCGGTGAAGATCTCGCTCTCAGCGATGTCGACCCGGTTCCAGGCCACAGCGAGCTCCAGCTGTCTCTCCCACGACTGACGCCGCGCGTGTTCATCGCTTCTGGAGGCTGCGGTGCAACAACATCTGTGTGAGGTTTAACAGTTCTTACTAGAGATGCGCCAATCCGATATTCATATCGTGTATCGGTTCCGATAGTGCCATTTTTCTCCGAAAAAATCCCGATTGTGTTACTTCTGAAGCCATACGATAGCTTTATGTGAGCTACATATAAATATTTAAGTCCTTACATTAAAGTTCACACAAACTCTTTTCTCCGCTGTGGCTGTCAGTCATTCGTTCAGCCTTGCAGGATGACGAGGACGACAAGGATTCCAATAAAGATATTTAATGTAGACACAACAAGGCAGATTCAGGAAGATGAGACACACACACACTCAGGGTAACATTCATAACCGACAACCAAAGCTGAGACAGACAGGAACTAATAAGGGTGGGTAATCAGTGGCAGACAGGTGAGCACAATGAGGGTAATTAACTAATGATTGTATGGGCTAAACCAACAAAAGGGGAAGAAACCACAACAAACAGTCCACAGGGGTGTTACAATAATACACTACGCATCAATTTCTCTTCCCTTTGTGCTTTGCAGTTTTTAACACGAAGCGCTTACAATGTGCGCATCCGGTGTGCAGAATGATGCGCTTGAAGCAACACGGCGTCAGGCTGTGACGTAGCCCTTCCTGGGCTAAACGAAACATCAGGAGCCCTTCCTGGGCTGGACTGGGGATCAGGAGCCCTTCCTAGGCTCAACGAAACATCAGGGGCCCTTCCTGGGCTGAACGAAACATCAGGAGCCCTTCTTGGGCTGGACTGGGGATCCTGTGGTCTCTCCTCCTCATTTTGGCCTTGAATTCCCTCCATAGTCCGCTCACCCTCAGCCATGATGCAGGGGGCGGAGCTCCTCTCCGCACTCACACCGTCCACGGCTTGCTCCCTCGTGGTGGGCACTGTCGCCGGCTCTCGCACCTGGTCTGACGTGTTGGGCTCAGTTGTCCGGGTAGTGCGTGAGGTGGGCCAGGGACAGAAAGTCGTTTGTGTGGTCCTCAAGAGAGCGTTCCCCCTGCTCCAGCAGGAGGATTTCGAATGCGGGGTAATCCATAATAAAAAAATTGAAACTGACAAAAATCGGAAAAACAAACGAGGGGAAAGACGACGCTATACTTGCTTTGGGTCGGTTATTCTGTCACGGTCACGGTGTGTGCAGGCAGGCAGGATGACGAGGACGACAAGGATTCCAATAAAGATATGTAATGTAGACACAACAAGGCAGATTCAGGAAGTTGAGACACACACACTCGGGGTAACATTCACAATAACCGACAACCAAAGCTGAGACAGACAGGAACTAATATAGGGTGGGTAATCAGTGAACCCTAGGTATCGGAATCGGTATCGGAGGCGAAAAAGGCGTATTGGAGCATCCCTAGTTCTTACCAGTTTGTCTTTTTTTATTGCTTATCCTGACCAAGAAATGGAAAAAAAAATGTCTCAAGTCTGTAGTGTTTCAAGGTCAAGTTTAGGTCTGAAGTCAAGTCACCGATCGTTTTTAAGGTTTTCTATAAGAGGGTTTATAGTTTTATAAACTGTGCTGCAAGACAGCGTTGCTACTGTTAATTAAGAGTATTGAAAATAGATTTTGGTTATTGAAATAATGCTGAAATAAAATAAAAATATAAATATTAAGTGAAAAACGTAAACTTAAAAAATTTGAAATGTTGCCTTGGCAACTAAATGAAATACATCATTATTTATTGATGATTCGTGCAAAGCCTGTCGAAAAACATGTCCAGGTCATATTTCACACCAGAGATAAGGAATATTAAATCTTTTTTTTTTTTTTTTTTACAAAGAAAATACCTACTTTCAAATTCGAATTTGAATTTGAAAATAGGTCTTTCAGATCTTTGATTGAATTCTTGAATTCTTTGCATTATGACATATTTTCATGCCAATTAATAACCAATTTTCTTATCATTATTAATTCAATATCATTATTTTTGTCTTGTTTTCCAGAAAACAACAATAACAACAACAACAACAACAACAAAACATCCTTAAAATTAAATTTACCTGAGAAACAAGGGGGGAAAAATTACTTTTAATAGTTGTTTTGCATTGATGCATAAAACATTCTCAACAGTGTCATCATTGTTATTAAAATCATTAACTGAAATAAAGCTAAAATAAAAGAATATATAAATATTAGATTAAAAACAAGCTTAAAAATCTTTACTGAAAAAAAACTGACTGAAAATGTTCAAGTACTAAAATTACTAAAACTACAAATTACAGAATTTAAATATCTAAAAATATATTTTAAGAAATAGAAACATTAAAAAATATTAAAAACTGATAAAAATGCCAAAAGCACATAACAAAAAACGTAATAAAAAACAAAAAGCTAATTCACAATATTAATAAATATTCTAATAGTATGTAAATAATACTAAAATAGCACTGCTGCAGGACGATCATTTAATTTAATTTAATATATATTTTTTTAAATGTCTAGCGATTTCCATGGCTCATTAAATTATACTCATCTAAAAGAAACAATATATCAGGCTTTACTTGAATCAAAATCATACAAAAATAAATAGTTTATAAATAGTCTCCTCTAATTTCACATAGGACGGATCGTTTAAAATCAGTCATTTTTGGAGCTTGACAACCTCGGTCACCATTTACTTTCACAGCATGGAATAAAAAAACATTCTGTCTAACGTTTTGTGTTGCACTGAAGAACTGTATCGCTCACAAGCATCTAATGCAAAGACAAGTCAAGTGTGTCTATAAGCAAACGTGTGATAGTCTTCAATGCTCAATAAAGCTACGCAAAAAATCTCTATAGCATTTTAAAGATGTGCCAATCATCACTATAGCTCCAGCACTAATAGCTTCCTCTATCAGAGATGCTTCCAGACTGTCAAGGTAGGATGAATGTGCTCACGCCAGAATGAGCTGCACAATACCAAACCCACCAGGCCTGTTTCCTACACAGCATTAAGCTTAAAGTTATTTGAAATAATGTGAAGAATAGTGTTGACAGGCTCTCGGTCACTGTATAGATTACAGCTAAAGATTCAACGCACTCTCAGCTAGGGTTGGGTACTGAACTCGGTACTTTTAAGGGTACCGACCGAATTGCGTCGGTACTACCGAGTACCGATTCACGTTAAATCAATCGGTGCCAAATTTGGTACCTGAGAACGCATTGGGCGCATACGCTACAGAGAGAGAAAGAGAGACCCTGTGACGTGAGGTCACCCCTGCAACTCGTTCAGACAACACACAGGGCAAGCTGAAATGTTCTGAAGTGTGGTTATATTTCTAGGGCCATATGGTTTCTGCGAAAACGCGGACAGAATTGTGGAGTCCATTCATAAAAACTTAATTTACTCTATAGCGTGGAATGCCACGGAATTCGCCAACTTTGGACGAATAAATCAAAAGTAGCCAATGCCACTTAATTCGAATCGTGATATGAACTAGTGTCTGTGAATATTAAAATGCAAATACTACCGAGTACCGATTCACGTTAAATCAATCGGTGGCAAATTTGGTACCTGAGAATGCATTGGGCGCAGACGCTACAGAGAGAGAAAGAGAGACCCTGTGACGTGAGGTCATCCCTGCAACTCGTTCAGACAACACACAGGGCAAGCTGAAATGTTCTGAAGTGTGGTTATATTTCTAGGGCCATATGGTTTCTGCGAAAACGCGGACAGAATTGTGGAGTCCATTCATAAAAACTTAATTTACTCTATAGCATGGAATGCCACGGAATTCGCCAACTTTGGACGAATAAATCAAAAGTAGCCAATGCCACTTAATTCGAATCGTGATATGAACTAGTGTCTGTGAATATTAAAATGCAAAAAGACGGTTTAAATATGAATCCAGCATGTTCCGCTTGCCTCTGTATGTATGAATGGCGGAAACGCGGTTTTGTTTACTGCACAAATACTGAAGCACGCGTGACGCTCGCGGTGATTTTCGGCCTCTGCGTCTCACTGTATGACGGCATGAACACAAAAACTTAATCTCCAGAGCTGC